TGAAGAAACTGCTAGTAGGAACTACCAAGAAATTACCAACTCGACAATGCAAAATTCCCAAGCCGTATTTTAAGTTAAAAATCAAAAGCCTCTCTCTGTTTAAGTTAAGTCCCTCCGTATTTCACTCTCAGTGAAAATTGGGAGTACTCAGTAAGAAGCCTAAGAGATAACAAATGCCACTAACAAGCAGCCGCTGGCGAAGCCGTCGATGGTTCCCTTTTCTGAGGGTTACTTACAAGCGAATTGATGGCGGCTTTGACCGCCATCCTTCTAATTACCACAGTTGTCATACTGATCGGGTCCAATTGTGGTAATGGCAAGAAATGTATATAGCTTAATGGACCGAAATATTTCTTACCATTAAAATAATTTTATTAATTTACAAATTTTGTAATTCTCATCTTTAATCTTCTTCTCTGTTCATCTCTTTTCATCCGTTTTTAATATACCTTCCTATTAATATGCCTTCTTATTTCTTAGTTTTTCGAAGAGGGAGCATTCGATAATCCGAAATTTGAGTATTTTTAAAGTACTGGCACAATCGGTGCGAAGCCCTAAATATTACTGACAGCAGTCGTACGCCAAACACGCTGGCCCCGCACTTACGCACCGCTTTCACTGTATATTGCGCATTATCTTCAAGCTGTCGCATTCCCTTTTACGTGTATAATGTTGGTTGTTTGAAGCATGTCAACCACAACGTGTTATTTGACGTCCGCCAAGCCCAAAGTCTCTCCGAACATTTCTTAATAAATAGCGACGCGCATCAAGACAGCCGGTGCGATCATCCGTTTTGTGCAATTCCGTCCACCGAACGATTGCCTGTTAATGATTCTCACTGCTTTGCACTTTGGTCTGTGCAAAAATAGTCCAAAGTTGCGGAATTTCACACTAAAGATTTCACGCAATGGCACGTGAAAGTTGAATCTGAAACCTCGAAGGGTGAGTATCCTTCCAAAATTTCAACCTCCAAATTTTCTGCTTTTGAGTGGTTTTTGCGACAATACTTTCACACAGTTGTGTGTGAGAATTCGGAATACTTAGGAAGTGAATTCGAGTATGTGGAGCCCCTGTTTAAACAGAAAAAATCCTCCTGAAACTTTCAGCCTCATAGCTCTTCTGACTCTTCTGACTTCTCACCAAAACTTTCAACGGGGCAATAAGAATTTGCGGAGTTGTACGTGGGTAGGGGACGCAACGTTAAAATTTCAGCTTTCCAGATTCCGTGATCCCTATGACAACAATTTTCCCGCCGAAAGTTTTACGGAGCCGTATATGTTACCGCAGGTACCGGAAGGCTGAATTTAAATTTTCTGGGTCACAAGTGGGCGGTGGACATACCGATAAAATTTTAGCTTTCTAGCTTCCGTGGTTCACGAGATAATAATTTTCCCCGCCAACACTTTTACAGGGCCCTCGGACACCGGGAGAGGCGGTCAGACGTGATTGGGGGACATTCTCCCAAATTTTCAGCTTTCTAGCTTTTGTGGTTCCCGAGTTGAAAGTTGCGGATAAGTTGCTGCGGACACATACAGACAACCCCGGGATAATGTACATTTTTTACTGCTGTTACAAAGCACAAAACGCACTGAAAAAAGTGAATTCATAATCTGGTATTACTGTTCTTATTATTATTACGATTACCTATACAATTGTAGCAGTTTCTCTTCTGTGCAGCCGTTCTTCTCGCCGCCAATAATGCCCACAATCGCCATTTTCAGGCTCCTCAAATCCCCCATGCCTCCAAGCAAATCCTGAACTGGAGCCTGAAAATAAATTCAGCTCCTGGCCAAGTGAAAAAAAAAAATGCGGAAAAAACGAAAGAAATGCATTTGCCGCTCCAGGACAGAACAAGACAAAAGCTGCGGAAAATTATGGATAATTACAGCTATCTGCTGGCCTGTCGCTCTTTTGACCCGATAACGCCGAAGCATTCTTACAAACCCGGCAGGCAGGACAACAGTCCACAGAGCCAGTTCGATCTACCCAAAGCTCTACCTTGGGTCCACTTCCGCCACCCAATCATCAGAGGTCACTCTGTGCGTCTAACCACTTGAGCTAAAAGGAGCCGTGTGACCTACTCGGAATCTCTCACTGCGCTGCGACTTGATAATGTTAAGGATAATGACATTCAACATAGACACACACATACATGCACATATACACACACACAAACTTACGCACACACACACACGCATACATACATACATACACACATACATAGATATACACACAAGAAATTCTTTTGAAATAACTAAAGCCTTGTCAAGTGCTCCCAATGAGAAACCACTAAACTGGTGAGGCATTCCAGAACAGTGGAAAAGAAGGTTGTTCAACAGGCGATGGTCAAAGAAAACTGCGAAATCTGCAAGCTGCATAGGTGGACAACCGAGCTCTGAATTAACGGCTATTTCCTACACAGCAAGCGGATCAGTGGTCAGCAACAATCAGCCTCCCAGGCATCGAAGCGAACGAACAAATCGTAAAGGAACTGGTAGTGTCATGGCGAAGTGGAATCCTCAGCTTCTCCAACACGACACCAGTGCTATTCGCTAGCAAACGCTGGCAAGCAACAAATAACCCAAAAACGACGACACCTATCCCCGAGCCTCGCCTCGCCAACACACACAGATCCCCGGCAACACCACAGAACCAACCCAAAAACAACACCGCGAAAA